CTGGGGGAGTCCCTGTTCCCCCGAGCGCCGCAAGGAGTGACCAGGAACAACGGTCACAAGCTGGTGGAGGGAAGGTTTAAGTTGGACATCAGGAGGCGCTACTTCACGGTCAGGGCGGCTAGGGTCTGGAACCAGCTTCCAAGTGAGGTGGTGCAGGCTCCCACCCTGGGGGTTTTTAAGAGGAGGTTGGATGACCACCTTCCTGGGGTCGTTTGACCCCAGTGCTCTTCCTGCCATGGCAGGGGGTCGGACTAGACGATCTGCTCAGGTCCCTTCCGACCCTAGAAACTATGAAACTATGAAACTGTTGGTGTTACGTTCCTGTAAATACAGTCTGAAGCAAACAGCACCCTGTGGACAATTGAAGTCTCAGGCTGACATCACAAAACCTGGGTGGCCTTCATTCAGGCTCCTTAATTTGTTATTTAGGTATCTAAATCAACTGTGACCTGCTTTCCTGATTCACTGAGTACTGATGACTTCGGCTGAATTCCGGTTTTGCAGATGCTTATCACTCCTGTATCACATCACTTTTGTCTAGAGGTCTTTTTTTCTTCTCCTCAAATGCTACTGAGAAGGGCTCAACAACAAAGCTATATAGCAATAGCAGCAAAACACAGCAACCAGGCCAAGGACACTCAGAGTAAAGGCTCATGTGACATTTCTTTGTGTCTAAGTCCTGAAACACTCTTACATGAAAATTTATAACATTTAGACAGTGTATTAAGAGTATTGACATAAAAGAGCAAATTAAATCTGTCAGTTTTGTCTTGGAAAAGTAGCTGCAACCCTCTTCACTACTCTAGCTGTGACATTATTTTAGAAGAGTTATGAAATGTTACCTACTGTTGATAATAAAAAGTAAATTCTAGAACAATATATTGCTTAAATGAAAAGAGTGTATTTGCTACCAGTCATTGATAACCTTTTTAAAGCTGTCCCCTTTACTTTTAACCCTTCAAGGGAAAACCGGTATATAGTGAAGTGTTGGAAGACGGCAAGCAGAACCAAGTGGAACTTACCAGATTAATCAAAACCTTTACCATGGATTTGGTCATAGAGTATAATCTTGAGGTACGTGTACTTTACTGAATCAAAACATGTGGTGGAAGAAAGCAAACCCTGGCAGTGACCTACAGAAGGAGATTCCTTGAAAAATCATCTCTTTCATATACTGTTCTAGCCTACTAGACTTCCAGAGCCAGTAGGTAGCTAAGACATGTATATCTTTGGTCAAGGAAGTCTTCCTGAGTTATGAAAATGTGTGAAAGAGTGGGAAATAGTGTAAAAAAACACAATACTTATGGTTAACTGGATTTCTGTGTACACTATTTCCCATTCTCTCACACAGAGTGACTTTTAGGGGTAGGAGCAAATATGTATTTCAGCTACTTTAGACTGCTGTTCAGGAGCCCACAGTGGCTGATCTAACTGTTCCATCTTCATGATCCTGCAATGATACAGAATAAAAACTAAATCTTCCTGAACTTTGACCCTGAATGAAAGTGGGTTAAAGCTGGAGCAGTTTTGCTACACTTGGATTGCTACAGGGTTGTGCAGATGTACCAGCTCCATTGGAACAGGTCATATCAGTAGGCTTTGATACAGATTTAATTGTTATGCCTTTCTACGCACTGTGTTAAATTAGGAAAATGGCAAAGAAAGAACAAACATAAAAATCTTTGAGGGGTGTGTGTGTGTGTGCATGAGAGACTCTGCTCTCTTTCCTTGCCTGGAAGCACTGCTCACGCCAGCAAGTAAACAGAGGGACTCATGCAATAAACAGAGCTATAATGGATACATGACCACCTACACCAGAGCATCAAAAATTCACATACATGTTGGCAATCCCTCACTGCTGAGGATGATTGTCTTCTATGATTGCTTTATCTGTGGGTCTGAAGCTGGCTGATGATGCGGCTGATCTGGGATCAACAGCCTCTGCTGCAACTCAGGGATGTGTTTCCATGCAGGGTAGGTGGCTCTGGATTCTTGATTCAGATCGAAACACACTGTTTCTGCCACTCCTGTTTATAGGGCTATAACCTGATAGTACAACATTTTCCTTTGGTTTTGTGAGCACAATAAATACATCCCACAATGCTGTCCTATTGACTCCTTTCCTGATGAGGTCAGACTATGAACCTCCATCATGAGGCGTCCTATGAATTGCTAAAGCACATAGGGCAACCTTATCTGAAATGACCTTCTAACTCAACATGAACAGGTGACCAATCCCTTCTTCATTCCCACTGACAATCACCACCAACCACACAACCACGTCTCCCAGGACTAGGGAGTCATTGTGGTACCAGTTTGATAAACAACTGGAGGAAGGATCAGATATTTATAAAAGTCAAAACCTATTTTACATTTCAGGGTAAGGAGAACTATTATTGCTGCCCACCCTTTGACTGAGTTTAAATACGTTAGCCCTACCAGCCTGTGTAGATAATAGGGCTGCGTGAAGCTTCGGTCCCTGATTTGATTCGACAGAGATTCGGCTTGATTTGGTGGCCGAATCTCCAAATCCGAATTGAATCAGAGGACCTTTTAATCTCTGTGAATCGAATCGGAACCCTCTGAATCGATTCGGAGAGATTCAGAAAGATTTAGAGATTCAGACATAGACACAGCTTTGGATGATTTTTCTACATACCTCTAGGTAGCAGGGGCTCCCGATTGCTGCAATGCTGGGGCACATGGAGTGTCCCACAGGAGCGTGGGGGACTCCCCAGCGCACTTGGCAGCAGACCCGGAAGTGGACCAGAAGCATTTCCAGTCCACTTTTGGGTCTGCCGGGGAGTGCACTGGGGGGTCCCCTCTTGCCTCCCAACTCTGCAACTGGTGCCTCCTGGGTCTGGGGAGGGCACTCGGGGTCCCCCCATGGCTCCCTCCACACTCCTGTGGGATGCTCCATGTGCCCCAGCATCGCAGCATTTACAAGCTGGTACCTGGAGGTATGTAGAAAAAGCTTTTAAAGCTGTGTCTGTGTCTGAATTGCTGATTCTCCAAATCGAATCAGGGACAGTGATCTGAATCCATTAATTGAATCACTGTCCCTGATTCAGGTCAAATCCGAATCCGAATTGAATAGGGCCCGCTTCACACACCCCTAGTAGATAACACTCTTGCTTATAGTGAGTACCTAGCCAGCATTAATTCTCTGACTCGTGTTATGCAGGTGGTCAGACTGGAAGATCATAATGGCTCCTTCTGGCCTTGAAATCTATGAATAATGATGAGATTTTTCCTTGAACAGGAAAAACACTTAGCAGCTGCTGATCTTGTCTCACTTTCAGGCAATGAAAAGAAACCAAGGGTGATGAAAATGACTGAGAACTGTCGAAGGCATGCAAAGCAAAATATGCAAAACCAGAACTATGTGGCATGACTACTTTTAATGTCTGGTTCATTTTTCTGCTTACCAGGAACAGAACAGATGCTTAAGCCTTTTGTTTTCCAGACATCTGTGAAGATTTTTGATGTCCCTGTTGAAAATCACATCCTGCTGTTCACCCCGAAGAACTCGGAGACATTCAACAAGACTTATGAAAATTATGAGTCTGCTGCTGTGGAGTTTCGAGGAAAGGTGTGTTATCATGGAGCCCAACTCTGCAAATGCCAGTTCTCAGATCAATGTAAAAATGTTTGATGTTGTTACTGGTAGGAAAATATTGCTATAGGTCTGTCTGGTAGCCTCACAAACCACTTTATATAGTCCCAAGGACTATCAGGTGGAATCCTCAACCAAAATAGTTTGGGAAAATGGAATTGGGAATAAATCCCAGTGAAGAGTGATGCTTTGAAACAGTGGTGCTCACTTTTGGTCCTGTAGGCCAGATGAGTGGCACAGGAATGGTCTGTGAGCTGGATCAGGCCCTGTGGGACAAGACCAAGCCCCATGTGACCTCTACCTGGATCTGCATACCTGTATTAAGCCCTGTACCGCCCCCCTCCATGTCAGGATCAGGGCCTGGAGCCCTGCACTGCCCCTGCCCAGGCCCATGTGCCAGGATTGGACCTTGGGAGCCTGCACCTCCCCCACCTGACCCCACATGCTGGGATCTGGTCCCCCATGCCAGGATTGGGCCCTATCACCCCGTGACACGAAGATCAGGCACTGCACCACCCTGCACACACAATCTAATACACAGGACCACATTATCCACCTGGTGCCCCCCCCCCCCAAGTCTGAAAATTTGACATCGGGGGCAGTGCCCATGGGGAGCCCTGCAGGCTGGATGACAAGATGACAGTGGCTGGATCTGGCCAGCGGGCTGGGGGTTGAGCACCCTTGCTTTAAAGCATAAACACCTGCAGCATTCCAAGTAAACCTATCTCTGACCATTGCTATTAAGCCTAATCTAACCTTATATCTGTGTGTGTGTGCAAGTGTGCATGTGCATGTGCATGTGCATGTGCATGTGATTTGCTAAGAGCAACTTCTAGTCAAGAAAAATGTAGCAAAGCTCACTGGTCTCTGTTACCACCTGGAAGCACCATCGGGGAATTTCCATTCCGGAAATGCGGCTCTGACTTAAAGGGTTTTGCAAACAGTCTGCACAACAGTGTTCCTGACGCCAAAGAGGGTTTGCACAGTAGGGCTGTGCAAAGCTTCAGTCCCTGATTCAATTCAGTGGCGATTCGGCCCAATTCAGCGGCTGAATCTCTGAATCTGAATTGAATGAGAGGACCCTTTAATCTCTCTGAATTGATCTGGAGAGATTCGGACAGAGTCGGTAATTCGGACGTAGATGCAGCTTTAAATGATTTTTCTACATACCTCTAGGTAGCAGGGGCTCTGAACGCTGTGGTGCTGCGGCAGATGCAGCATCCCACAGAAGCACGGGGGGCTGCCCCAGCACACCCGGCAGCGGACCTGGAAGTGGATCAGAAGCACTTCCGATCCACTTCCTGGTCCGCCCCCCCTGCCCCCCCCGGCTTGGCAACTGGTGCCTCCTGGGTCTGCTGGGGGCACCCATGGTTCCCCCATGGCCAATCTCCAGCCAGGAGGGCACGGGGGATGGGGGGAGGCAGCGTGCTCTCTGGCAGACCTGGAAATGGACCAGAAGTGCTTCTGGTCCACTTCTGGGTTTGCTGCTGAGCACGCTGGGGGAGACCCCCCCGCGCTGCTGTGGGATGCTCCATCCGCCTCAGCCCTGCAGTGATCATGAGTTGTGCCTGCTACCTCAAGGTATGTAGAAAAAAACATTTAAAGCTGTGCCTGTGTCCAAATTGCTGATTGACCAAATCAGCATTAGATCTTCAGATTCGGCCGAATCAAATTAGGACATTGATCTGAATCAACGGATTGAATTGCTGTCCCTGATTCGGGCCAAATCTGAATTTGAATTGAATAGGGCCCGTTTTGCACAGCTCTGTTGCGCACACATTTTCTAGCTGTCTTCACTATCTGTTATACGTGGTTGCTGCTACTGCTCCATAGACACCAAGTGCTACAGAAGTAGAGTTCATTCGGTGGTAAAAACCACCTGCAGTCAATTCTACTATTGATAAAGACATCTGGGTTATGAATATTTTAGCTGCTTTGTACTATTAAGTTATGTACTCTAGGGCTAGAGAAAGCAGTAAGTGTTCAGCAGGGCTAGTAAATCTAGTTACCGTACATTGGCACGGAAGGAAGCAATATAAAGCCAAACATTACCAGGGCTTTAGCAGCACAATGTGAAATGGGTGCAGCCAAAGGCCAAACTTGCTTGATTTAGGATTTTGGTAACACCTCTGAACACAGAGCCAAGACAAGGAAAGGTTCACGGAAGTGCTGGTTTGTTCCAGCTGCAGATAAACTTGGATTCTGAGACTTACCAGATCTGAGAAGTTTGTCTCTGGGGTCCAAACTTCAAGGCTGGACTGTAACTTTATCTTGCCTAAACCAGGGTCTGGAGGCTGGACTCCGTTAACTCTTGAAAACTCCAAACCCTTCAGATTCAGTACAAATCTCATGCTTGGCTGGAGATTTGGCAGTTTGCTTTGTTTTTCAGATCATGTTCATCTTGGTGGATACTAACGAAACCAGAAATGGGCGTGTTTTTGAGTATTTTCGCATCACTGAGGTAGATGTCCCCGCAGTGCGGATCTTAAACCTGACGAGTGATGCAAGATACAAAATGCCTGCAGATGAGGTGACAGTGGAGAACCTAAGAAGCTTTTGCCAGAGCTATCTAGCTAGAAAAGCAAAGGTAGGCATCTTCTTCAACATATACCAGCTTAAAACTGTTGTATATTACAAACAAAGGTTGTGTCATTTGTATGCCACTTGTACTGTCCTTGTTCTTACGGCTGGTATTTGGTAGAGTCTCTTATGACATGATTTGGAGGATGATGAGAACATCTCATTCCAGTTAACTTTGACTGGCATTTAGGGTGCTTTGAATATAAGGGCACTAAACTTACTCTGTTTCTCAATTTTTCCATAAATTGTGCGTGGGGGATAATATTTTCCTGCTCAAATATGGTGGTATAAAGCTTAATGGATACTAATAAAGAGCTCTGAGATTGTGGGGAGAGCTATTAAGTGCCCAGCCTGTCACCAAAGAGAGAGAGAGTTTGAGATCTAAGGAATAGATTCGTACCAGACTTAACATTTTATGGATCTGGTTTCTCTTCTCCACGCACAGCAGATTTTGAATGGTGCTCCAGAACTGACCCTAAAGAATCTGCTGCTGCAAGGTGCAGGAGGAAAAAAAATAAGGGTCCAGCTCACACACAGTGGGGTGCAGAAGCCATGTGGAGGGGAAGGCGAGTTAAGCAATAACATACACCCCATTAAGTAGCCACCTTGCTTTTTCTACATTACAGTAAGCCTGCTCTGTAGTATTCTAGTTGTTATCTGTCATGCAACCAGATTCCAGGATGCAACTTCCAAATAACTTGTGCTTGGCTGCACATGGCATGAAACAAGTGATTCCCAGTATTATAAGAAGGAACAAAACATGTGGACATGTGTCCAACCAGACTCTCATTAACCTGAATGGAAACGTGGCTTCTTCACATCTGTGCTTTTGTTTCTGATCAGCGACATGTGTCTAGTGAAGAGATTCCAGAAGACTGGGACAAGAATCCTGTCAAGGTGCTTGTAGGGAAGAATTTCAATCAGGTTGCCTTTAATAAGACAAAGAACGTGTTTGTGATGTTCTGTGAGTATCACTCTATGTTGTTCAGAGATCAAACTGTTTTAACATGATTGATTTAATGTGAAAGTGACAGCTTGTTCTTCTGCATCAAACCAAATGCTGTACATTAAGGGTGCATCTACACGGGATGCTTCTCCACTGTAGCAACAAGCTATGGCAACATAGCTCATTGCTATGGTGACATCTGCAGGCATGAACTGTAATGCCAATGCTACTGCACAGGCTACGGCACAGTAGGGTCATAAACAACCTGTGCGCTGCTGGGACTGCACAGTAACCCAGTAGCCTGGGTGCAGGCGTCTTGGGCAGTGGACTTGAGTTGCTCCCAGTGTGCCTGGATGGAGATGTCATCAGCAGTAGGGACTTGCTCCAGTGCACTGTACAACTGGGCCTGGAACTCCTCCCACTGTCCAAGGTACTTCAGAGCTGCTGGGTTTCACTGAGAGCAGTGAAGTCGATGTCATGCCTTCCTAACTCCCGAGCCACAATGGCAGTTCGTCTTTCCAGGCGATTGCTCTTTGGGCTGTTGATGAGCTTTCTCACATTCCAGGTTCCAAAGTTTAGCTTTTTCTTATTTTGACCGCAGGAATGGTGATCCTGCTGGGCGTGCTTTCCCAGCCAGGAGAGATAGGACAGCCTATTTTGGGGGCACCTTTTCTAGCCCCCTCTCCATTGGGGTGAGCGGAGGGTATTCTAAAAAGGGCTGCTCAGTTGCGGATACAGCTGCCAAAGGACACCCCATACACACAGGTGCCTGATGACTGTCGTGCATCTGCCACCTGTGTGCAGATTCTTGGCTGGGGGCCTCTGGGTATCACAGCCCTGCACCTGCTGCCAATCTTCCATTGCCACAGGGCTTTTGGACCTGATGGAAGCCAGTGCATGGCATATTTAGCATGGGGACTTTGGTATGCAGACAGGTCCACACGGCCTTGGCAGTTGGTGGCTGAATTCAGTGGCATGGCAAACCACGACAACTGGGGTCACTTCTCCATTGCAGCCTTCTTCCACCTTCACAGCCATTGGGACCACAGCCTTCCTCCACCTGCTCTGCTGTTGAGGACTTCTTGGATTGCTTTGTCTGGAACCTCCACCTCGACCTTACCGCCATGGGTGGCCCTACCAGGAGCATGGGCTGCAGACAGCATCACTCTCGGGGTCATTGGAACACGCAAGCCTCTCCACCACAACAAGGTGACAATCCTTGGAGAGGATTGGCCACATCTGCACGAGCAGCGGATTGAGGAACTGTTACTGTGCAGTGTGCAGTCATTTAGTACTTGCATAACCAAGTACTGAACGACCGTGCAGTAACCAGCATTACTGTGCAGTAGCGTCCCTGCACCATTTTTTTGATGGTACTGCACAGTAGCTCCTCGCCACTGTGCCGTAGTGTCACGTCACAGTTAGTACCCCCCAACACTACTGTGCAGTAGCAATTGGCTACTGAGCAGTAGCTCATTGCTACTGTGCAGGATCGTCTCATGTAGATGTGACTAAGTGACAATGTCAGAAATACCGGATTGCTAGGGTTTTCTGACTTGCTTTGCTTCCAGGTATACCTTTTGTGGCACATTCCCTGAAACAGGAACATCTATTTTGACTTTTAATTAGATATATGAAAGACATCCTTCCACACAGCCTTCCCTGATTTACGTAAGCTAAGTCAGAAAGCAAGACAAATACATGGAGCTTTGTGTACTCTATTGCCTCTCTTTCCTTATTTGTGTATGCTGTTTTGCAGCTTCCAGAGATACATTTTGTAAGTAGTATTTCACTACTAAACTAATAAAAGACTTGCCTTTGACAATCTCAGTAATCCATGTCATCCTCTCTAGCAAAGTCATAAGATGGCTTGTTAGAGCCCTGCGTATTTGTTTTTATTATGAATGGGTTGATTCAGCAGTATTATGATCAGGAGTTCTAAGTACATTAAAACCCATCCATAAATGTTTGGCTATCACTGCTGAACTATTTGTTTAGACAAGGAAACTAGGGCAGAGTAAATGGTTGCAAATAAAATAGAGATGAACCAAAACCAGAATCTGAGAACCCAGCACCTTGGAGCTAAACTTACAACAGTTTTGAATTCAAGGTTGCAAGGGGCTCACTTTCAGGTTTCAATTTTGATACAGTGGAAATCAACTGCAGCTGGAGGAAATTTTACATGATCCACTGATTTTGCAAAGTTTTTGCCATAGAGGCTTAGACAAATTCAGTTAATGTCCCTCTTTTTTTCTGACCAGCAACTGCTGCTTATTCACTTTCTGGTTGTACCCAAGATCAGAAATGGAAATGCCAAAATGATAGATTTTGCCAGACTAATAACAGGGAGCTCATAGCAAAGCCATTTCTCAGCATATTAATCAGCCTGGTTCTGCAGATCAGGGAGATTTGAAAAGTTCACATGAGGTTTGACATTGAGTCCACTGAGATTTCTGTACATCTTTAAATGCTAAGTAGAGGTGCCCTACCTGCAAATTTGGATCTAGAAGTTGAACCCACCTTCTTCCCCAATATGGGGGGAGGGGAGAGGGGTGCTTAGATCAGGGTGAAATCCTAGACTCACTGAAGCCAAAGAACTCCCAATGAAATAACCCTGAAGTTTGCATTTGGCTCATTACAGAAACAAATGCCAGTCACATAGTATGACCCAGACTTGGGTTTTAATTGAAAAATTCCTCCTTCTGAAATGGTGGGATGGTAAAGCATTGCAGCAGAAGTAGGACATGGGTGTGTCTGGGTGTAAGAAAGCTGCAAGGCTACTTCAACCCTGAAGGAGAAAGTCGCTGTGGTCCTCTTGCTTCTCACTCTGTCAAACTCCAATGCACTTCACCGTGCTTTTGGATTTGCCCCATTGTTTCTGGTTGGGGAGGGTAAACCTTGCACCTGTGACTTCCTGCATTTCTGTGACTGTTACAGACTAAGTTTTGATACCAGGTTTATGAACAACCGTTTTTCTTTTACAGATGCACCCTGGTCCCATAAGTGCAGGAAACTTCTCCCAATCTGGGATGAGCTGGCTGAGGAGTATGAAAATCGCAAAGACATAGTCATTGCCAAAGTAGACTTCACAGCAAATGACATCCAGTTAATTATGCTGGATCGCTATCCCTTCTTTAGACTCTTTCCTGCTGGATCCGATAACCAGGTGAGAAACCTTCAGTGAGAGGGTCTCCAAATAAGTGAGAGGGTCTCCAAATAAGTGAGAGAAGAGTGCTGGTGAAGCGAGAAGACATAGGCCATGGAACGGAGTGGGCCACCTGGGCCATGGCCCGATCAACTTTTAGCATGTTCATTTATATAACCCAAAGATGTGTAATTGTCATTCTGGTTAAAACTGTATGGCTATTTTTTAAACTGCATAGCTAACTAAATTAACGTGCTAAAAGTTGATCGGGCCATAGCCTGGGTGGTCCACCTCATTCCACGACCTATGTGAGAAGAAAATTGTGGTCCTTGCCCATCCATATTTCAAAATGCGCATCCCTGACTTACTGCTGCTAGGAATCTGAGTTTAAGGGGAAAGATATTTTCTTACCACTCTCACCATACAAAAATCAGGTACTCATACAGGCCTAGAAACTTCCCAGGTCTGGATTGATGAACTTGCTATGGGTCGAGTCTTGGGTGACCCAATTCTACACCTGAGCTGCCCTGCGTTCCAGTTCTGATTTTCAGAGGAAATTGCAGATCCCCTAAATTCAAAGTGAACCTACAGATATGATTTGGTACTAATCCCTGAGACTGGATTGTGCAGAGTGTGCTTGGTATAACTGATGGAAAATAACTCCAAGTTTATTCACCTCACTGCATCATTCATTCTGTTACTGGAGCAGTTTGGGTTAAGTCTCACCACCTGAAGGGCCATATTCTCTGGTCTTTTAGAAAACTCTTTTCTAGGCAAGTGTACCAGATTTTTTGCATTTCAGTGTCACAAACTATGCCAGCAGTGTGTTCAAATGCCTCTCAATATACATTCCAAAGCTGTTGCTATTGCTGATTACCTTTAGAATATGCTACATAATATATCAGCATGTTACATAAGGTACTAAAACTACTCCAGAAGAAGAGACATAAGAAAGGGAAAAATATTAAAGAAATAATCTTACTGCTCTATCCATGCAGATAATCTAATTGAAGAGAAAAACATCATTGTTGCAGCCAAAAAAATTCAATTCTATGACACTGTTATAATTAAGGCATTACTCAGCTTTTCATTTTTTTCTCCTGATGCCCCATACTTAAATTAAATTCTAAGACATTTGTACATGTCCTCATTTAATCTCTTTGAGAGTGGTTTTGCCAGCACAGCTTCTAATGAATTGAACTGGAGCCCTGCTTGTTCGTACAGTGTTCAGCCTTAATGTATATGTGCTACATCCCATTAGCCATGCTCTATGCTGCATGCATTTTTAAGATGTATTGGTTTATTAATCACACATTTTACTTTCTAAAAAATGATCAGAAAGTTGGTACCTGAGGCTGTTGCAAATAGGGATGATAACTGGGCTAGTTCCTATGGCCTCAGTCACTGGTTAAGGTTCCAGTGTATCAGACACTGCACATATGCACAGACACATGGAGGACTTGTCCCAAAGAGTTTCCAATCTCTGCCATCTCAGTTTTGCCTTACAATGGCATTATGGTGTCCAACTCTTAAGCTGACAGCAATAGCATAACTATGGGGTAGGGAGAGGGACACCAGCCCTGAGGGCCAGAGAGGGGGAGACAGAATGGAAATCTTTGCCAAGCAGGAGCAGCCCTGCACACAACAGCATATTGGGGAGAGAGGGGAAGGGGCAAATGGGGCGCCAGGGGTGGTTCCCAGAGAGCCTGCACCACAGGGCTGCTGCAACCAGTGTGTGGAGAGCCAGTCCACTTGCTACAGTGCCCTGAGCCACCTGTGCTGCCAGAGCAGCAGTCACAGTAATGACAACTACTGCCAGGGTGCAGACAGCTGGGACCATGGCAGGTGACACTCTGCCACCCTACCCTCACCCCCAACTCCTTCTTCCTGGATCATTAATGGTCTCCATAGCATCCTCGCCCTGCTCTGCTCCTTTTCTCAGGGCACCAAAGGAGCTTGCTCGGTGCCTGACTGATAGAGGATAGACGGACAGAGAGGAGAAAGAGGAACAGGGACTATACAGCACAGTGACCATAGTGATAAATACTTGTTCCTTCCATCTAATATTTCTGTGGTTTTTATCTCTCTCTCATTATGGGTGGCAACTACATGTGGTGACAAAACCATGAGTGAAAAGTGCTCATCCCCCTCTATTCAAACCCACCTTCTCCACACAGTGCTTTCTATTTGGGATGGTCTCTCTTTCATGCTCCAGGTGACCTCCTTCTTAACTCTCCTAATAGCCTTTTTCCTTCCTCCAAGTCTGTCAACGTGATCCCCATACAATTTTAATTTGCCAGCTAATACACCTGTCCGCACCCAACACTCTGTGACCATTTCAGCTGTTGCTTCCTTTTCTCTTGACACTAAGGACCTTGGGCTGCAGCCATGTGCCTGGAGTGTTTGTACAGCACCAAGATGGTTGTCAACACCACTTAATAAAAGTGACAGCGCTTACGGTGCTTGATGCAATCTGACTTCCAACGTGTGGATGGATATCCAGTTGACCTCTGGTATTTTGTTGGGGTCAGAGTGTTCCTTAGTTTACGTCAATATCTACTCAGGATTGTTTATTGTTAGAGAATAAAAGATATGAAGAATGTTCCTCTGGGTAAAGAGTGGCTTTCTGGCTGTTACTTTAACTTCCAAGTATGAAAGAAAACACGGTGAAATCCTTCCGACAAGAAAATTCCTTCTATTTGTACCCAAAGCAGCTGCCCCACTTCTGTTATGTTCTGGGACTGGTGTAGAGACTTGTGACTGGCAGGCACCGGTCTCTCTCGTGCTGCCTTGAAAGGCCTGTTGTGAAGCTATGAGTTAAACCTTACCTATTCAATTGAATGGATTGTGCCATGTTTTGGAATACGGGCCTGTGCAGTTCTCTTGAACTCACGTTATCCATACAGTACTTTGACTTCAAACAGGGCAGATTTTCCACTTATGTAAAGCAGCATAATTCCATTTATTTCAGTAGAAGCAGGCTAATTCATATAGGCTGAGGGTCTTAAGAAATTTAAAATATGCTCAGATAACAATGGACACTTGCGTGGGTTAAGCAAATGAGTTTCTACTACATTCTGGATACAGGACACATTTAAAATCCTCTTTAGACTTTCAGAGGGCACAGGTTTTGGAAAGGCCTAAAAAATGGTAAGATAGCCCCTGATGCTGGGAGAACTCTAAATCTCTCAGCATCTCAGTAGTTGGCAGAACCCAGGTTTAGTGATGCAACATAAGGGACATTATTTGTTTGAAGGTGAGGCCTTCCTTCTTTGAGGTATTTGTTATTTTTCCTTCTCACACCTCAAGAGATCCAATTAACTTTAGTATTAGGTGGCTCTCCTCTGGCTTTCTAATCTGAACATAAAAGTCAAAGTCTATTGAACCTGCATAATTCAGGAATCTCTCTATTTGCTGTATTCTGATTTCAGATTTTTTTTATGCACAAAATTAATAATTTTTTACCCTATTTTTAACCTGTTCTTTTCAGGTTGTGGTGTATGCTGGGGAACATACCCTTGAGGCATTTGCAGAATTCTTAGATGAGCAAAGCAAGCCAAAAGCAGAAGCAACAGGAAAGGTAAAGGATTCAATGCTATGTGCTCTGAGAATGTCTCCAGTGCAATTCAAGGTGGCATTGCTCCCAAACGCCTCAGTGACTGGAAGCAATTTAGCTGTAGGAGGGTGGGATGCAACCACTAAGTATCTATCCAGGGCTCTAAGAAGACTTGTACTGCCCATACTGAAGCCCAGGCTGCCATGACGAGACTAGTACCAGTACCCAAGTTAGCTAGTTTAGCAAGCGCTCCAATATGAGTGTAAAGAGAGCTTCCATATAAGCTGGATTGACACAGCTGCACAGCAGTGTAGACATACCCTCTTTCATCCCTAGATTCACATTATGTCAAAGGTTCTTTTGCTTGTGCTCAAGTTAGTCTCCTAAGCAAGAAGTTAATGTATCAGAGTGAGACTTATGATAAAACATACTGCATATTTGGAAGATGTCTAGATCAGCTCACACTGTTTATTTATAAGTATTTCATTACAAGAAGGATGTATAAATCTCATGAGACACTTAACTTCTGCAAAGAAAAGCTGTCCATACATTTAATGGGGATGCCACTTGTTTTGCAGTAGAATCAAAGGCTTCTTTGGCCAAAGGGGATGAAACAGAGGCAGTATTTGCTACTGAAGTTGCTCAAAGAGTAGGGAAGCAATGAGATGGTGATTGGAGAAATGTCAATGGATGTATCCACCACTCAACTTAATTTCTCAGAGTTTGAAGAGAGGTGGATAACCGGTCAACTAATTTGGGAGAGCTGAACCTGACTTGTGGAACAATCAAGTTAGCCTTTTTTTCTTGCTGAGCCTATGTGGGCAACTGCTCTGAGGACTGGCTCCTGTGAATGTTTTCTCATGATGCATTTGAAGTAGGTGGACATGTCACATTCTTCTGTGCTTGCTCTAATACAGTTATGCGTATTCTGTCTTTTGGTGCCTTATTTTAGTTTCAAGTATAAGGAAGTTGCATCATCCAAGAGCCAGTTTGGGAAATACCATCCAAAAAGCACGCTTTGCTTTGCTAGTAGGGAAATGATCAACATTAGCCCATCTGTTCATATTTTCTGTTTTCATTGAACACAAGCCAAATCTGCTCAACACAGAACTATGGGATGCAGTAGGCCTCCTGCAGTGACTCACTACTTGATGTGCAAATCCTGTCAAAGGAATTCTCTGTGTCCTGTCACTGGATGTTGTCACAAATAGCAAAAGCAATTTCTTTTGAGATACCTTTGGGAAAGCCTGCACATTTTCTCCATAGAATTTCTAGATCTCCATGTGTATTACAGTACATAGTAAAAGTGACCGATTCTCCAAGTGCTTATCAGAATTTCACAAAAACAGTATCTTATCTAGGCTCTTCCCTAGAGCCAGCGTATGGATGAAAGTTCTTCTCACTCATTTAGTAACAACTAGGGCTGTGTGGAATCTTGATAGCTGTTTCATTTTGACGCTGTTTTGACTCATTTCAACATCGAAACAGCAAAATCAAAATGAAACAAAGGCTGTCAAAATAGCCTTGAAACAAAACGAGGCTAGTGGAAATGTTTCGAAAGTCAAAATATTTTGATCATAGCACTGGGGATGGGAAGTCAGTCAAGCTGGGCTGACTTCCCATCCCTAGCGCAAGATCCAGCCGGAGAAGCCAGTTTAGCTGGGTTGCCTCACCACCCCACTGTGTGATCTAGCATGGGGGGATGGCGAGGCAGCCCGGCTGGGCTGCCTGCTTACCCCCTGCTGGATCTTGAGCTGGGGATGGGAAGTCAGCCCAGCTGGGCTGCTTCTCTTCTTTCCCCCCCCATGTGATCTAGCGTGAGGGATGGCAAGGCAGCCCAGGTGGCCTGCCTGCCCACCCCCTGCCGGATCTTGCACTGGGGATGGGAAGTCAGCCCAGCTGAACTGCTTCCCTGCCCCCTCACATGATCTAGCACAGCGTATGGAGAGGCAGCCCAGCTGGGCTGCTTTTCCCTCCCCGCGTGTGTTCTAGTGAGGGGGATGGCAAGGCAGCCCAGCCCCATGGTGAAATGGTCGAAACAGGGTCAAAACAGCCTCATTTTTCTACAAAGTGAAACAGTGAGGCTGTTTCAACTCAAAATTATATTTGATACAAAACACTGTTCCATCCAGACCTCGAAACTGAAGTCGGAAAGGAACAGTGCCGTTTTGCACAGCCCTAGTAACAACAGCATTACCTCATTCACCTACAGAAGAGTCTTGCTAAAAAACTACAGTTCCCACAATATAGTTAAAAATAAATGCTATTTTGGAAAGCAAATTCTCACTGGGACAATTTCCTTTTTGTGAGTGGCTCTAATGAGAGACTTTATTGTCATATTTTTTTAAGGATCCTTCTCAAGAAATCAAAGAGGATCTTACCAAGGAAGAACTCTAACTGTGCAGTGAAGGGGAAGTTTCCATATCATTAAATTCTAAGGACGAGTATTGTCTATACAAGAAGAAATTTGATTGTGACATAAGAATAGAGCTGCATCAAAAATGAAAGAACAAGAACAAATAAAAAATACAATATCCCCTTTTGTTGTGCATGATTTCTCTTTTGAATTGTGACTTTACTAGTGACTTTTTATAAGTTGGTGTCAAGTCCTCATAAAGTGATATTCCACCATGCCTTGGTAATGTCTCTGTCAGCGGCATCACCATCTTCTTCGTTTAGTGTGGCACAACAAAGAGAAGTTAGGACCCACAGAAAAATCCTGTAGGATGCTCATTCAACCGGTTGTGTATTGAGTTAAACCAGTCCAACTCTAATCCATCCAAGAGAGGTGAATTTGGCTCAAAAGAAGTGTAACCAATATTCAAACAAGACTTTGATTATGATCATAAAAATAAGCATGGGCACCTAAGAACTGAATACATAGTGGGAACATCTACATGTGCGTAAACCCACCCTGGGCAGGAATCTACATGTGTGGGGATTTGGGAGCAGATATGCTGCTCCTGACATCAGTCTACTCCTGCCCACTCTGGCCCCCTGCAGCAGCCAGGGGGACTTGGAGGCTCTGGCCACAGCTGCTTCCAGCTGGCAGCCATCTTTAAAAGTCAGTCTCCATCCTGGCACCTCCCCACCCCCCTCATGTGGTGCAGATGCCTGCCCAGGCTCACCGCAGTGTCTCAGGCCCCCTGCTACCATGCTGCTGCTGGCTGGACCCCAGCAGGGACACTGATGATGCACATCTGGATGCCACCACCAGTGCTGTCCGTGCACTCCTGGGCCTCCAGCCCCGCTGCCTGTGTGCCTGCCCAGCCAGCCAGGATGGGTGGCTTCATGGAGGCCACCTGGACAGCTGGCCCCAGACTCCAGCCCCACAATGCACCCTCAGCACCATGCTCACTGCAGACAGTTCTCAGAAAAGCACTTTACTCCCCTGCACAAACACAGACCTCTCCCTCCCTCCCCAACAACAGAATCCCTTCTCCTCTCCTCCCCTCCCCTGCCTACAGAGCCCCTCCAACATACTCTCTACCCACCACCACCAATAAAACACCCTCTTCCTTGTGTAGACCCTGTTCAGTGCTTGCTGTATGTGCCATCTCAGGGTGAGGGGCAATGGGGTGGTGGTGCCAAGGGGGCAGAGCCTGGGGACAGGTGGCCAGCACCCCGGCCTCTGACCATACCCCCACAGGTGCAGATGTTGTGGCAAGGCTGGTGGGCAGGCAGCTCACCCAGGTGCGACAGTGGCTGCTGCTCTGCCAGCATGGGCATCTCTCTCTCCTGCAGCCAGTGAGCTGGGCCCGCAGGGCCTGCATGAGTCCTGACCCCACTGCAGGCAGGTCTTGCTCTGGGGCTGCATGGAGCTGAGGTGAGCAGTGGGGCTTGGCCTAGGCAAGGGGTCTGGGGGGCAGGAGCCAAGGTAGGGGTGCCTGGCTGGTGGAGGTATTGCTGCACCTCAGCACAGGCCCATGTGGGGGGGGGGTGCATGCCCCTGGGCAGCAGGTGGTTGCCTGGGTCCAGGCAGGATTAGGGCCAGAGGCAGAGCAGTTGGTAGCATGAAGGCAACTATCAGGGCCAGGATATTGCCCAGAACACAGTGGTCCTCCTTTGTGGCCTCCACTGCCCTGGCCACCAGGGCAGTCTGCTGCTTGTGGGTCTTTAGCCTTTCTTCCAGGGCCAGGAGCCTGTTCCTGAACTCCTGGTCTGCCCAGTCCCTTGCCAGCTTGTGTGCATCTGTGGCAGGCCAGTAGGGGGTGCTCCTGCTGTGAGCCCAACCACCTTCACTGCACCCAACCACCTTCCAGACCCTGAGTGCCTCTCTAGGGGTGCTTCATGTCTGTCCAACCCCCTTCCTGGAGCACACCCACAAGCCTAGGGGTAACGTATCCACCACCCAGGGTCTGGACTGATTTTGGCCCTATGCCCCCTGGGAAACACAGGTCTAGTAGTCCTTGAGGAGTACTCAACCTACTGCAAGAACTTGGGGTGCTTCCCTTAGCCTGAAGCACAAATAGTGGTCTCCCTTAGTCAGCTGAACCAAGGGGACCCCAGGGCATAATTTAGACCCTCTTTCAATAAGTCTCCCATGCTAGGTACAGAGGAGAACCTTACTGGTTACAAGGAATAGGTTTGGAATAGGGTACAGGGTAGAGCAATATCAGAGAAATGCCTTGGAGCAAACAGTGGCATGGTAGCCTTTGAACACACATCTGAGTTGCTGAAAGCTATATATCTAGTTAGATCTCAAGTAGCTTACTCACAAGTATCATCCAGTGGCAGGTGGAGATTCCCTCTGGAGGCAAACAGTTCCTTGACCATGATTTTCAAGAGACAGAGTGAGTTTCAGATGGTCCAGCTTCTCTGAGAGTCCTCATCATGGCTGCTGCCCCTCCTCCTGGGCAGTCTTTAACTTATATAGATCTTGAAGGCCAATGTGATCCAATGAAGGCCAGCAGTTGTTGGCTGCCAGCCAACCAATTTGAAAGGCATCACTGGTTTCCAGGTAGACTGGCAGGGTCTCTATCCCCCCTACCATTCCTGATGTCATTGCTTAGAACAATAGGGAGTTTAGGCCCCCACCCAGGTGTGTGGGACCAGTCACATAAGCAAAGGGAGCAAGCTCTCTTCTCCCTCTGGAATGTATCAAGTTCAGGTTACAATTCAGGGTTACTTGAAGAGATGAGGCAGGGGTTTCTGCCCTCTGCAGTGACCATGGTAACCAAACTGTCAGATAGGTCATAAGCCTGATAGCAGATTGTGGGGAGAAACTGAGATGGTATTCTGTCACAGTGTCCCTTGCCACCTCATGTTTGTCCCTCTCCCACTCACAGGAGGTTTCATTTGTGCACCAGGAGACTCCACCAGCTTCTCCTCAGCCACCATGACCAGCTTGTCCAGCAGCTGGGTCCAATCCTGGGCCCTGTGCTGCCAGAGCTGGCACATATGCAGGGCCCTGACCAAGACTGACAGTGACCCTGAAGGTGCATCCTGGCTGCCAACTGGTACCTCTCCCCCATGTGCAGCTGCAGGCCGTACATAGCCATGAGAAAGAGGCTGTTTGTGAGAGTTTGCAGCATTTCTGAGATAAGATGCTTAATACCAGGGGGCTGTGCACTGCCTGGCTTCAGATTGGGGAATCATACATGCGTGGGTGCCAAGGGATCATGGTAAGTCAGCCAGACAGGCCCTGGCACAGGTGGCTGCCAGCCAAGCTCCACATCTCCACATCTCTACAGGGGTAGGTGGGATGCTGGGTGCTGGCCACAGGCAGCCTGCCTCTCCCACCCCATTCTCAGACTAGGACAGATCTGGTTCCTGGCAACACCTGCTGCTATGGCTCCAGAGCTACCCCCTCCCACACACACACCTTCTCCTCCTGCAGACTAGCCTGTCTGATGACCTGCTGCCAAGCTCATGGTTCCTGAGCTTGTGGGGGTGAGGGACTCCTGGCTGACTGGGACACAGAGCTGGTAGAGCCAGCCCCCTGCTGTGCCAGCTCCGTGCCTCAAGCATGCCCCTGCTAAGAGTGTCCCAGGCAGACCATATGAGCCGAGGGGTGCCCAACCCACCATGACCTGTTGCTGTTGCTTGCCATGGTGCCTCAAGTGCACCTGAGAACCTCGTGTGGGCCCCTGAGCCTCAATGGTGCAGAGGGCAAGCCCGCCCTGCCTCACAACCTCTGTCACCAACTGGAGGGCTACCTATGGCTGCGTTATGCATTCCTGCCCTCCACAGCCGAGGATATCACCACCAGCATTGATGCATTCCTCCATGCGAGAGGTCCATGCCTGCCTAGATGAGGGGGCACAGGCTGCTCAATAAAGTTTGGCACTGTTTCCTGCCTCCCTGCATGCTGTGAGGGGGAGACTCTGGGGGCCGGGGGAGTATGGCCAGCCCAGGTGGGAAGAAGCGGGCAGTGGTGGCAGGGGCTGGGAGGGTCCTCTCCCCAGTGGGGGGCTTACCAGGTGGATGTGGCAGACACGGCTCATGGCCTGAGTCAGTCCCCAGTGGCGGTGAGGATGTTCCTGGTGGTGTACTGGGGCACAGTGCCTGACTGCCCAGTCAGGGGCCCTCTTCAGGGAGGAGCTAGAGCTACTGAGGCTGGTGATGCAGGTGGCCTGGCCTCCCAAATGGGGCTGTGCACCCAGAGCTACCAGGACAGGCACTGGCCGAGGCTCCCAGAGCTGCATGATGAAGTGGGGAGGTGGGGGAGGGAAGCGCAGCAAGACAGGTTCCTGCCACCCTGAGGGGCCCTCCCCCGGTGTCGTGTTGCTATGGATGCCGGGCCCCAGTGGAAGCTTGGGCAGGCTGCCTGTGCTGGAGTAGATGGCATCGCTCTGGCTAGGATCCCAGGGTATGAGGATGTTGTCCAACTTCCACATAAAGGGCGTGAACTTTCAGGCAGCCCCCAACCAGCAGTTGCCATTGGTGATGAACCAGTGTACCCACAAGGCTTTGACCTTTATGCGGTACTGGCATGCCAACCAGTTGTGCCCTCACTGCTGCATGTGGCCTGACAGGCCCTCATAGATCGAGATGTACACGTTGGAGTGCCTGCCCCAAGCAAACAGGCTGAGGACCTCAGCCTTGCCCCACAGTGCCATGATGTCCACGGTCTCCTCCTGGGACCAGTTGCAGCCATGGGAGGCAGCATGTCCCTCTCCGGAGAAGATGTCAGCATGGCTCCTTTGATGATTCGCTGGGCCTCCATGCAACAGTCTGGGTGCCACCACGCCTGGGCAGGTGTTTGTAGTGCCCATTGCAGGGGCACAGTGCAGGACAGGCAGGTGCTCAGTGATGCTGTGCCGGGAACCAACAGCAGGGTCTGGGCAAGCTGCTGTGGCTGGCCTTGGGCCAGCTAGAGCAGGACCCACTGCCCAGAGGCTGGCTGCAGATGGCCCAGGGTGCTGCTGGGCCTGGCAGGTGCCTGAAGCACCCAGTGCAATGTGACGGTATGGGCCTGGCAGCTGTGTAGTGATGCAGTGCCAGGGACCAGTTGCGGGGTGTGGACAGGTT